TCTTGATGATATACTGTTTACAAACATAACAAAAGCATAGTTCAAGTTTCAACAAGCATCATATAATCAACCAATATTAAACTAAAAAAAAAAGTTTCACACATTATTTGTTGGTTTAGAAACGTGTTCTTGGACTTAGCAAGGAATCCATTATCCATCCACAAATATAAACAAATATTCTAATAAAGTGATTATAGAAAAGACATAACATCCTTATTGGCATTGCATCCAATCGTATTTATTGCTCTTTGATTTTGATTATCCTCACCTAAACCCTCATTGAAAAACCCTTCCTACCACCCTCGTTTATTAATTTAATTATAAGATAAGCATCTCATTATGTGTATATTTCTATTATGCCCTTGTTTATAGAAGAGTCAAAGTCGGTATTCAAGGGTATATGTGGAATTTCAAAAGAAGACGTGGGATGATTGAGCTGTGTCTGTACTGTGTGTGATAGAGGTATGCGGTGAGTGGAGTAAAAGAAAGACTATCCAACAAATAAGTGGGTCGGTCCCATTTGTCTATATAGCCAAACCTTAATATTTAATAATTTTCCTTAAGATGGTTACAGAAAAACAATAATAATTTCAGAATATATAATAGTATTTAAAGTTTTAGAAGATGAATATGAACGTCGCAGTTAGCCTGGTGATTAACAAATAAGTCTTACGGTTTGACGTTTATTAATAATTGTGTTTTGGAAAATTGATAATTATTTCATCCGTGTGTTAAAATGATTAAAACCACGAATTTTCATTTTTTTTATAAGAAATTCTGAACCACAATTGAGACATAGTATTCTACAATTAACAAAAGTCCATTATTAGTGTTTCATGATTAATACACAGAACACTTCTTTTCATGACATAATTTTTTTTTTTTGGTATGAATGTTAAGATTCATGACATAATTTTGACTGAACAATTTTTGTTTAACGGGAATCGAACTCAAAGAAACGAATTTACGTCTGGTTTTTAAATATTTTACCACTATGCTACTAATTCAGATATTTTTATTGAATTTGTTCACCAAGATATGAAGTATAAACGATTGAATAAAAGAGTAACAATAATTATTCTTGTTAGGAATCCCTTGTTGTTAATTATGTACGAACCAAAATTATCAGGCGAATGTTGTTGAGAATGCATGGAACTCTTATGCCAAGAGTTTTAGGGGGTGATATTGAACGTGAGATTATAAGAGAATTGATGATTTTAAAGTATTGTGGAGGAAAAAAAAAGTATTGTTGACCAAAAAAAAATATTGTGGAGGAAAAATAAGTTTCTATCAAAATCTCACCAAAAATAGTAGGAATTGGCTCTTCACATTTTTGCCATAGAATTCTATTAAATTCTTTTGCAATCTAAAAGAATAAAAGTTGCAGAAAATTTGAATAACACATGAATTTAAAAGAATGAAGATTGTAATCAATTGAATAACACATGAATTTAATAGAATTAAGATTCTAATCAATTGAATAACACTAGAATTATATGGAATTTCAAATTCAATTAAAGCTCAAATTGATAGTTAAAGCTCTTGGTTGATATGGTTTTTGTTTGTTTGGTAAAATGGTTGATATGTTTTGTTCCTACAAATATGAGAAATATGATCATAGGTTTAAAGTTGCAATATACAGCTAATCATAAGTAGAAACAAAAAAGTTATTTTTCAAAGCAGTTTAGTTAGACCTTCGTCAATGCAGCTTTGATTATATGCGTCTTATATCATTTCTGCTTTGGATAGATTTCCTTTGTCTACCCTTTGATTTTTTAGCTATGTGCTTTAGGTTTTGCTCGAGCTATGTTCACCAACACCGTGGTTTTGCGATCCATTAAAGGTTTGACACATATTTTTTCTTTAGCATAATAATAAATGAAACCGAGAAGGGATTAAAACCCGTTTTTATCCCTAATCCGAAGAGATTATGGGTCTAAACTTAATAGGCTT